ATCCTTATTTATATATTTTCTCCCTAACACGGGCTTGGATCAATTGGGTTTGAACTTTTGAGACTGGACCTAAGAATTACACTCGGGTCTCGGCCTACCATAAAAAAAAAAAAAATGCAACACGAGGCCCAAATCTAAGAAACGTTCGGCGTTCGGTGAGTAGTCTCCGTTCGGACACGTCGACGGTCCGGAGTGTGGACTGACAGCATTTTTGTAGATTCTGAGGTTTGGTGGAAATTAAGAACGGAGGTAGCGGCCATTGCCACCCAAATTCCATCCCAAATCGTCGCGGTTTTTGCCTTTAATCCCACTCCAAGAATCACAGTTACGTCTCTCTTTTACCTTTTCATTCAACTGTTTCCTCCTGATGGGTTCCCTTTTCTTGTGGTAGGTTCGCCTTCAATTTCTGTATCTGTAATCCCAGTTTACTGTTTGGATGCCGAGAAATCGTAGGAAAAGAGGGTTTTTTTGGCTTTCCTTTTGAGTCAAGAGGGACTGAAACCGTTGAGTTATACTACGTGCTCGATTTTTTTTTTTTTTTTATCCTGGAGAAATAGGAGTTTGGTGTATCAGGAAAATTTGCCCTTTTTTATTGTTTTTTTTTTTTTCCTTAATTTTCTCGGGAACCAAACGCTGTGGTTATTGGACGAATGGCTTCTGCTCGGGGGCTCACTTCCCTGATCGAATTATCATTTCCAGTTAAGCGTCACCCACTTTTGGTTTCTAATAAATTATGTACGACTTTCTATACCAAACCCAGTTGGAGAAGAATCTTAACAAGAGTCTGGAACCACCAAAAACCTAGCTTTGTTCTTCAAAGGAAACAGCACAAAACTAGAAAAATCAGCCTACTCAAATCGGTAGAGTTGGACCAGTTCATAACGAGTGACGATGAAGACGAAATGAGTGAAGGGTTTTTCGAGGCAATCGAAGAATTGGAGCGGATGGCGAGAGAACCCTCTGATATTCTCGAAGAAATGAATGATCGTCTCTCCTCAAGGGAGTTGCAATTAGTCTTAGTCTACTTCTCTCAAGAAGGGAGGGACTCTTGGTGTGCACTTGAAGTTTTTGAGTGGCTCAAAAAGGAGAATAAGGTTGACAACGAGACGATGGAGCTGATGATTTCGATAATGTGTAGTTGGGTGAAGAAGTTGATTGAAGGGGAGCGTGATGTTGCTGATGTGGTTGATCTTCTTGTGGACATGGATTGTGTGGGTTTGAAGCCGGGTTTTAGCATGATTGAGAAGGTGATTTCATTGTATTGGGAGATGGGGAAGAAGGAAAGAGCAGTTTTGTTTGTTAAAGAGGTGCTAAGGAGGGAAATTGCATATGCTGAGGATCGTGGTGGAGGACAGAAAGGAGGCCCAACTGGCTATCTAGCTTGGAAGATGATGGTATTGTTCTTTTTCCTCTGATCATCAATATCTTTTTGTGTTAGTTTGTTTCGTTAGAAATTGAATATTTGTTCTCTTCATGTGATTGAGAAGTGGTGGAGTTGAATTTGCTTT